TAATTGCTACAAACAAAATGTGTATATAGCCTAAAAAGCTAATTTTAGCTATTAACAGCTGAAATGTAGCTCATTTTGTAGAAACTAACTGAATAAAGTAGAAAGCAACTGTAAAAAGCATAAATAGTTCAAATTAGCAGAAAAAAAGCACAAATAAAGCAGAAGAAGAAGAACTAGCAGAAAACAGCTAAAGTTAGTAAAAAAGTAGCTAAAAATTGCAGAAGGGAGTAAAAAAAGAGCACAACCAGAATGAATTGTGTAAGGTTTTGTAAAGWTTTAGAAACTATTTGAAGGATTTGAAGGTTGTTGAAAATAGCCCCATTCAAAGTCAATGGGAAAAAAGTGGCTAAAAAAGTTGAAATAGCTAAAAAGCTATAAATAGCTGAAATACCAAAAGTCATAGCAGGCACTGCACGGAAGAGCTGAACGTTTTGATATATGAATGGTTGAAGTAGCACAAAAATTGTGGAACAATAAAGGTGCCGAAAAACGTACGGAAGAAAAAAATGATCTCAATTGTGTGAATGCCATACAGGCATTCACACAACAAGGTGCTTCAATTTGTCGTCACGTTTATAAATGCATTGCTCAACAACTACGGTGATCACTTTATGGTGCCTCATGTCAGCTMTTTCTGTGACCGACTGTTGGAAAATCTAAGATCTGATTTAAATCTTAGCTTTTTATCTTAATCATAGCAAATCGCCTGTAAAACATCTCTACAATGCCCAGATCCATGTAAAACATTACTTTTAGCAGCTTATATGAGCCTGTAGGTCCATGTCATGTTTTCATGTCATCCTCTTCTCTCCGAGCAGCTGTAGGTGAACTTGTTGATGGACACGTTCAGTGGTGAAAGCTTTGTGTAAAACATGGCTACAGATAAACGAGCAAAACTAAATCTACACGTAGATACTTTGATATGTTAATAATTACCAAAATTATTATTATTTTGCTCCAATATCAAATTTAAAGCAGGATTCCAACATTGCCTGTGGTATTTTTCTTTGTGTCTGTGTGAAATTAATTTAGTGTTTATTCTAATTAAAATGAAACATTTTTATACTAAATTGTGTTTTTAACTTGTTTAACTTGGGGTAATTTATGGAAAACTCCACTTTAAATTTAGGTCATCCTGTGTTAAACCGGTCTTTGATAATACAGGACAATAAACACAATTGTTACATTATAAAGTAGATTTAACTTGTTTAACTTGGGGTAATTTATGGAAAACTCCACTTTAAATTTAGGTCATCCTGTGTTAAACCGGTCTTTGATAATACAGGACAATAANAAAACTCCACTTTAAATTTAGGTCATCCTGTGTTAAACCGGTCTTTGATAATACAGGACAATAAACACAATTGTTACATTATAAAGTAGATGGAATTTCTTTATATTAAAATTTAAATAAATAAGTATAAACCTACCAAAATGAACCCGTCTGTCTGCTTCAGGCTTGCTGGACATGCTGACGAAGGCTCAGTGCAGCAGAGTTGATGACCAGCGGGGTCTTCTGACCAAAGAGCAGCTGGAGGTTCCTTCGTTCCTGCAGCTGCCCTCAGAGCAGACCCAGGACTCAGACAGCCCCAGTACAACCACCGACGACTCCAGAACAGAACCAGAGGAGATTAAATTCAGTTTGGATTCAGCAACTGAAAAAAGTCCTGAGATTTCTGAGTCCAAAGACTTGAAGGAAACAACGGTTTGACGAGGACCCATTTGAAAAGTGGACAAAAAAAAGATCATAAAATACACAAACATCTCCAAACTCTGAGATGTGAATCTAAACCTCGCACCTTACATTCACCTGTTAGCGAATAAGCTCAGAGACAGCAGAGTCCTGCAGACTCTTTAATCATTATTGGCCTTTTTCAAGGTTTTCTGTAAAGAAAAAAAAAGATCCTGGCAAACATTTATAGTGTCATTTTAACCACTACAGATCCTTGCAGGAGAATGTTTGCTACATGTTTAATGTGTCCAAAAATCCATGAAATGTTACCTTTTTTTATAACCCTGTAGCCTGTAAGATACTGTACAGTTTAATTTACACATCACAGTTGGTTGTTTTGAAATAATTTGCTTTTGTTGTTTTTGTAAGTTATGTTTTTTTCCTGGCAGCAGTCTAGCAGGGCTTTTATAAAGTGTTTCTTTTTGCAAGATGTGTTTGTTTTAGAGGTGGGAAAAGATTTTTGTCTTTTTTTTTTTTTTTACAAGGAAGAGCTTTAATACTTGAAATTTGTGTTATTTCTAATGCATACCCAGCACTTAGAGGTTTGTGTGTTTGTGTATGTGTGTGTGTGTGTGTGTGTGTGTGTGTGTGTGTGTGTGTGTGTTTGCACCTTGTGAAGCCAGGATCAAGTCCTGTCAAATCTGACTGCAGCTCAGGGATCAGCTCTTTAACAAAAACTCCATGTGAAACAGAGCATTTCTGAAGCATGAACATATTTTCTAACAACTGTCTCTCTGTCAGTGTCTCTGCTGCAGGGTTATGTGCTTTAACGCTCTGTGAGGAGATCTTTTCATGAATGATGGAGGTCATTTTCTGGCTTAGAAAAACAACTTTTGGTTTTTAAAGAAGCAGCGAGAGCCCAGTGGGCTGTCTGCGTGACTCACGCAGGATCAAACCAGACTGATCTGTTTTAATACGTGTCAGTTGTGTAAAATTACATTTGTCTTTTTACTTTATCCTGATAAAGAAGAATTGCCTCTAAGACGCTGCCGTGTAATGTCATTATTGGCGCGCTGACGATCTTTGCAGGGCTGTGATTGGTTCTTGGATCAGTTATCTTGTTTTCAGTCTGATGTCATGACTTGTTGCTGGAAAATGATTGGAAATCATTTTTTTAACCTTTTTTTTTTTTACAGGTTATAAAACCTAATAGATGAGTCATAGATGATCTCATCCCTGTTGATGATGTCAGCAGCATTCATTTTCTAGTGTGTGTTTAGAAATCCTCTCCTTCGCCACACCTGGTAGGTTGTATTGTCAATAAGCATGAAAACTGATTCATAACATTTATTCTTGATTTTTTTACTTATTTGACCTAAAGCTTCTGAATGTCATGCTGAAGACACGAGTCTAGACCTGTGAGTGGTACACCTGGTGTTTTTTCTGTGTGTGTGTGTGTGTGTGTGTGTTTCCGTTCATGTGTGAGTGATGCGTCGGCGGTGCTATGAATGAGCAGAGAAGGGTGTTCTCTCAAAGGCACCGTCACAGCCGTGAAATGAGGAGTGCCATCTACTCCGCTGCACGTCCGCTGTGCTGAGAGAAGAAGAAGAAGAGGAGGAGGAGGAGAAAACAGGAGGTGAGCGTCTGAGTTTACCCCAGGCTCTTTTTTTATTTTCTAATTTATTATTATTGTTGTGCTTGTTGTGTCTGTAGATGTTTGTCTCCCTGTCACCCATCCATCCTCTWGATGAAAATGTCCCGCTTAAATAACGGAAATTATTCCCAGAGCTCTGCAGACAGAAGCTCTGAATGAATGGACCTTTGCTGCGTGTTTTTGGGAGTCCTGCAGAGGAATTCATCTGAGCAATCCATCAAATCCAAGCGTGCACGTTCCGCTCAGAGTGAAGGGCAGAGTCTGTGCGATCCAAATGAAAAACCGTTATCAGGTGATAAACTCGTGGCTCAGCTGCGAATCGGTCAGGGAGCAGCTGGGCTTCTTAAATTCAGCCATCTGAGGGGGAGGCGGGGTGCGAGTGTGACACCTGGACACAGCAAACAAAACAATAAATTTCAGGACATCCTGTCCCCTTTGAAGAATTATTGTCCATGTGTTGACCTTTGTGTATAATGAAAGCAGTTATTCTAGGAGTTGAAATGATAATAAACTCAGAGCCAGTTGGGAAGAATTGTCTTTTATCTTTTTGTTAATACATAGCAGGACTAAACACACAGCCTTGTGGCACACCTGGGCTGAGGGTCTGACTCGAGGAGGTCAGGGGGGGGAATAAATCTTGCCCAAGAAGTTTGTATCATTAGTTGGGGACTTTCTTCCTAAGCCCACACTGAAAAAATTTTAGCGTTAAAATGACTCACTTTGGCGCAGTTGGTTGCTGTTTTTGAAAGTGCTCTAGAAATAAACTTGACATTGATTCAAGATGGCCACCACAGTTAATCAGTCTTAGCAAACACATTTTATAAACAAGCCAGTAAACAAATAAAGTTTAAAAAAAACATTCGAGAGTTTCTGATGAGGAAACAAAAAGTACCTTGTGAGCAAAATGTCACCAAGATGCTTCTAACAGAAATATTAGTAGTTTTTATTTTCATTAATGACTCATGTGGATTAATGGGTAAAGAAACATTTTTCATCTCCTTTCATCACAGAGGGGATGAACTCTCCTAGCCCCYGTCTAACCTCCGTCCCTCTTTGTTTTAAACATAATGGACTGATTCCTTGTRGGGACGGAGTGAAGCGGCGACTCGTTCTCATTTAGGTCATTCCCCTCAGTGAGCTGGTCAGAGGGAGAAAGCACTCAGGACTGACTGAATGCCTTGGCTATTCCCTCAAAGTACACTGAAGTGCACATTTAGAGAGTGCTCAGCGACTGGTTTGTTGCCCTCTGGCTGTGCCAACCCAACCTCAGTTAACTAGAGACACACAGTTGTGTTGGGCTGTTGGCATGTGTGTTTTTTTTTGTATCCTATATATTCCACTTCAGGAAGGACTTTGTGTTGGAGTTCCCTGCAGCGTCAACTGTGGTCCTGCCCTGACCTCTGACGCCAAACGTCTCAGTGGGCGGGGGGCTCCTGTCTATCAGACCARTCAGAGCATTCAGTCTTTAGAAGGGCAGGGATGATTGCTTTCTGCTGAGCAGCAGGGAGGTGGATGGCCTCAGAGCTGTTGAATCAAGCTTGTTTTACTTCCACATTTGTAATATGTGAAGGCCTCTAGGATTCTTTAAAGAAATGCCAAACAACTTTTAAACTAAGGTTAAATGATAGGAAATGGAATTGTGTCTGTTTTGATCAAACTTGGTCAAACTATTCTGTGGACGATTCTCTTCTACCACCCACCAAGTTTTAGCTCTATAACTGTTAAAATGTCTWATTTCTAGACACGTTTGTGTGGCGGCCATCTTAAATGAGGTTGACTTGAAACGTAAATCAAATGTTCATCCAATAATTTACTGGGAGTTTCATTAAAATCTCTCCACTGGTTAATCAGGCATTTTGCTAACACGCACGGACAAAACTGACCACACGGTGTGACGGTGGGGTCACTTCAGGGTCCATGTTTCAGAGTCTTCACATCCACCTCAGCAGCTATGAACTTGAGCTCTCGACCACTTGAGTCCAGATTTCAGGATTTGCTGCTGAAGCAAACGATGTGACGAAACAAAAAGTTTCCGAAACAGAACCCGGTGCTTCGTTACCAACARGCATCTTTTGAGTATAAATCTGTGCCTGCCGTGAAATATTTACAGCCACTGAGATTTTCTGTTTTAAAAACACCAAATAGCTAAAATCTTCCAGCGTCGAGCCCAAACTCCCGAGGTGTTTTTGTCTCCAGCCGCAAGGGACCTGACTCCAGCTGTGCCTCTCTGCCTGACTGCTGCTTTTTATTCAGCGTGGCCTTTAGTTTCTCTGGGACTCTGTGTTTGTCCCTGCGTTAGTGTGCATGAGTGCATGTTCCCAGAACCTCCTGTTTAGTCTCGACGAGGCTTCTAAAAGACAATAACTTCTTTTTGTTACAGTCTGTAACACTGTTAGTCATCTGATTAAGATTTGTGTCTTTAGGTATGATTAAAATGACACTTCCCTTTTATAGTGTTTGTATCTCAAGGTGATGATTGTRGTGAAAATCTTTTTAAAACCAAAACAAAAAAAAGGATCACTTAGTCACAGATGCCACCTAGCGGCAGGAAACCAGAACTGCTGCTTCAGGAGAATAATTCAGCTTTAGATTGAGATTAAAAAAGAAAGAAATGCASCATTTTATATTTTATCTCTGAATAGAAAGGGTTTTGTTAAATAAAAATGTATTTCTTTATACTTTACAGTTGCCAGCAGGAGTTTATAAAGGGAACAAAGTGGTTTGACAKAGAATCTCACCTGAGGGGGAATAAAAAACCTTCATGTCAGCCATGGAGCCGAAGCCAAACGAGGTGAAAAAATAGCTTTATTTTCATAAAGCTTGAGTCTAACAGGAGTCTAACAGGACTTTGTGTCTCTGTAGTGTCCCACCAACACTTCGCCTCAGAAGCACATGAAGAACAGATCTAAATCCACTGAGGAGATGCAGCAGACGAAAAAGGTGAGCAACAGCTTTTGGTTTCTGCTCAGACATGACCTGACTGTGTGATTCCTTCTGACAGGCCTTCTCCTCACAAAAGTCCCTGCCAGGCAGGCCGGAGCTGGACAGAGTGAAGGTCATTTATTCTTATTTAAAATTATTTTGCATCTTTTCTTCTGTATCTTTACTTAAATCCAAGCTAGGAAAGAGCATAATTGTTGTCTTTGCGCTGCAGGAGTGTCCCGACGGCTCTGAGACGACCTCCTCTTCCACTGAAGAACTGAAGTGATGAATAAAACCAACATCAGCAACATAAAATGTACATATGTCCACAAGAAAACACCCAGTGTTTAGAATAAAACTAGAACCTAAAACATAAACAGTTCCCACGCTGAATCAGGTCCCTGTACAAGCAGACGTGTTGAAGCTGTGTCGTTGTGCTGAATGTGTTCTGATAACAAAATAAAAGCATGTTGTTGAATAAAACTCTTTATTCTGTTTTCATTTACAACTATTACAAATAAAGAGCCAGAACACGTAATCGGCTAAATATAAAACCTGTTTACTCGGTTTTTAAYCTAACTGCGGGGTATAGAATAAAAACAAAGCATGAGAGACTTTTAAACTTCTAATTAAGAATTAATAATGATGTAATAATGAACACAAAAGTTCAAAGAATGCTGAGCGCTGAACAAATCTGTGAAATATGCTGAAGAAGTTTAAACTTATTGAAACTAAGAGGCAGAGCACTAGCTAAAAARAGCAAATTGGTGTCTCTATAAAGCAAAATGCTGGCTAAAAGCTAAATGTAGCAAATGGCTAACTAAAATGTAAAACAGTAAAATACAAGCTGAAACTAGCAAAAGGCTAACAAAATATAAAAATGCTATCTTTAAGCTATTATCAGGCTATTTAGGAGCTAATAGGAGCAAAAAATGTAGCTAGAAGCTAAAAGGAAATAGAAACAGTTAAAATAGCACAAAGTATGTATAAGTAAAACTGAAAAAACGGTCCTGTTGTTAATGTTAAATGAACATATTAAAAATTTTTAAACCTACATAAATCTGAATAAATTGAATTACATTAATTCTTAAAGTTTTTACCTGCTTCTGTTTGCATTTCTACCAGCATATTGAATGTTCTGAGCTGCATCGTGGAGCAGCGGTTACTTCTGCAAGGTCACAYGCTCAAATCCCAGCTGGGGGATTTGTGTGGAGTTTCAGTTAGAAAAATGYTTCAAAATCCAGGTTTAAGGTTCCACAAGACAGGGCCTCAAAACAGCCTTTTTTTTAGTCAACTAATGCTTAAAAAGTGATTAGATGTGTATTACTATTTAAAATGGAGTATTTTGCGACAAAGTACTGCAACAAACGGATCATAAATGGTACAAATCTGATGGAGATGATTCAGAACCAAGAAAACAAAAAGATGAAACATGAGTGAATGGATGGACAAACATGAAAATTTAATTTAAAAAAAATCCAAATTTCTGCTTCTTTCTTTTGTTGTCATCACAGTGTGTTTTTGCATTTCAGCTGCTAAATCACTGTGAAGAACTGTTTCAAACATAACTAGACACCGCAGAGCGGTGACATGATGACCCCCGCATGCAGAAATGCATCGGAACTCAAAGATCTTTATTCCTAATAAATGTCATGCATCCTAAAATTGTGGTGGTTTGGGTGGGGGACTTTTTCGTGAGCATTGGTTGACCTGATGGACAGCCCCTCATCAGAGATAAAAAAAACAAAAGAAATCTGAAGCTCCTACGTTTAATGGTTTTTGAGCTATAACCATACCCCTTTTTCAGATAAATTGGGGGTCTGGGCTGGGGGTGGGGGGGCACTGGTTGGTGGGCCTGATGGATAGAGCTTCATCAGAGCTAAACAACAAAAAATTATGAAGCTCCTATGTTGAACGGTTTCTGAGTTATAAGCAGTTTTGCATGTCCACACATCCCCTATTTGAAAGGAGCCCCCTCCTCAAATATGGGGTCTATTGTAAAACCGTTGGCTGGCGCAGTGCAGGTCAGACTCATCTACAGTCCTGCCAAATTTCATGTTGACCGGTGCAGCCGTTTTTGTGCTACGGTTGACCAAAAATCACTGAAGAAAAAAAAACTACGAAAACGATATGACTCCTGCTTACGCTTTGCGTGCGGGAGTCATGATAAAGGACGTAAACAGCTTCAGCTTTAAGGCCATTTTTTACATCACTACTTGAACAAATAAAATATAAATGAATAGTTCGTTTTTGTTGTGAAACTTTCATACTTTAATTTTCCAGGGTTACAGGAAAGTGCTTTATGAAAGAAATGTATTATTTTAAATTACATTAAAAACAGTGGATTGTCAAAGGAAAGTTATGTCTTTCATTTCAGGCACGGATATTATATTGTCTATATTTAGAGAGAGAGAGAGAGAGAGAGAGAGAGAGAGAGAGAGAGAGAGAGAGAGAGAGAGAGAGAGAGTGTTTGCAGGTGTATGAGAATTTAAAAATGACAAGTCTGTAAGGCAGTCAACTTAATATATTTTATCTGATGTGATAGTAGCTAACACACATTGTTTAAATTTTGCAGTTCCATATTTGTGARTGACTCTGTTAGCAAAATGTCCCATGAACCAGTGGAAGGATCCTAACGACACTGTCATAAAGAAACCCTTAGAACAATATCTGCAACTCTAAACTTTTGAAACCAACCCCAGAGCCGATCTGCATCTCTTCAGGGAGTGCTCAGACTTTATTTCTTCATGTAAACAAGTGAAGAGTTGTTGTTGTTGTTGTTGTTGTTGTTGTTGTTGTTGACAAAAACAGAATGAAACTGGAAGCCTCACTTGGCGTTGTTCCTGGATGTGTGAGAGCTGAGGAGCAGCAGATCAGGACTCATGGGGGATGTGACTGCAGGACGGTTGATTGACAGGCGAGTTGAGTGGTGGGATGACCAGACTCACAGGTGGCGCACGAGGCGCGGGGATTCACTGCAGTACGGAAGATTTTTCACCAAAGAACCCTGGAGATATGACAGAGATTTACTCTGATTTACATTTACATACTGTGTATGTGAGTGTGAAGTTTTGTTACCTCCCTGCAGTTGAACAACAACAAAGTTGTTTTATTCTCAGCTCTCAGGAGAAGCGGGAACATAAAGCCGAAAGGGTCATTCGGTTCTGCTCCTCTGGGCTCACGGCTTCAGGTCTGGGGTCAGCAGGTTTTGCAGATACGGCTGAGAAGCACTGCTGACATGACAAAGCTGGAGCTGGACTAATTATTAACAATTAGTCTGTGTTACACAGATCAACAGCTCTATCTCTCATGGTGAGGAGGGCATTTGTCTGTGTGTGTGTGTGTGTGTGTGTGTGTGTGTGTGTGTGTGTGTGTGTGTGTGTGTGTGTGTGTGTGTGGTGATTTTCCAAACAAAATAAGCTTGAGCTTCATTGCTGGCAGCAGAGCACTAAAACGTTCTGCACGTCACACTTCAAATGTCTGAAGTTTTATTTAAACTTGTGAACTTAAAGGCCCTGCGTTCCTTGAACGAACGCACCCCAAACACTTGTCATGCGTGATCGAGCTCAAAACGTGTGTTATGGATGACTCTCAGCTACTACCACACTAACGTTTAGCTCCACATCTGGTGAAATGATGGAGCMGTAGCCATTTTTGTGTTGGCTAAGGTCGATTAGCTGTAACCAGCTGTGGACATACGTCCAGTGATAACTTTCTGAGGGTTTCCATCAAAACCTGCTCACTGGTTCATGAAATATTTTGCTAACAGACAGACAGGGTTGCCTCTGAAAGTGAATCCCAAACTTTTACAGAAAGATCTTGCACAATGTGAAGCTTAGAGGATGTGCTGAGGATGTCTCTCATCTGCCGRGGCTCCAAAGTTATCTCGGCGTCTGTTAAAATGACTTGTAGCTGTTTTTTTGTTTGATTAGCTGTGGCGGCCATCTTGAATCGGGTAGACGAACGCACAGTGATTAGTGTCTGTAAGTTTTTTTTAATATTTTGTCCACATGCTCATGAGATAAATCAACCACTAATAAACACATCACATTTAAATAATTAAGAGAAACAAATAATCTGTTATTATATTGACTCATAGCCCTTTTTGAAAGCCTGATGAAGCATYTGAGTGGGCTGCAGCACAGAGCCCAAAAATAATCTGCTCGACATTTACCACTAGATGTCAGATTTCTCTCAGTCTTATCTGTGGAACCTGCGGTGACAGAGATGAAACATCTCCTCACACAGGCTGCTGCTGCTCCTGGATCCCTATCTGGCACCAAACCAGGAAAAATAAGAGCCAGTACAGTAACCATCAATCATTACTAAATACACCACAAGCTTCCCGAACAAATCAATTACTTATACATCATGAACTCATCGCTTTGCGTTGCTGATTAACTGCGGTGTCACAAGTTAATCACAGAGGGATTAGGTTCTCCTCTGGACACCCCCCGGAGCAGACATATTTAAAGATGAGTTCCTCCTCAGACTGATGCTTTGCTTTAGGGGTGGTCCCGCAAAAACTGTGTGAGACAAGGTAAGAGGTTTATCTTACAAATCAGAAACAGGTTTGTGTTAAAGTTTTGGAAACCACTGTAATTAATATTGCATTTTTTTTTCTTGCTATAGCCTACACTCAAAAAATACAACCACAGAACATGTTTGATTAACTTCCATATACATCAGTTTGTGATGCAAAGATTCAAGAAAGACACTGAACCAAGTGTTGAATGATCATTTAAAA